CCCCCTTTTTTTCGTCCCAAAAACGATATCCAGCTTGCTTGTAAGCCACCTATGCCGAGCTCTGGTAAGAATTCCTAAGAATTCCTCCGTAAAAAAACCGAAAACTCTTTCGACAGGTTTGAAATTTCGTCTGTAAAACTTGGAACTTCTAAGAAAAATTTCGCGCCCACAAAGTCCGTTTCCTATTTTAGCCAGCGGGACCATGTTCGCCCCCTCCTTTCTTTATGGGCAGAAGTGAGAATTCCCCAGTGAAAGGAAAACCATAAGTTTCTTTCGACGAATTGTAATCTTATATATAAAGCTGAATGTCTGTTTGTCTGTATGTCTGTCTGTCTGTCTGTCTGTATGTATGTATGTATGTATGTACGTATGTTCCGAATAGAAAATTCCATTTCTGAACCGATCCGGACCAAACTTGGCACACATACACTTCGGGCCCCGGCGGGTGTCATAGGCTACTTTTCGTCATCGATCGATATCGATTTTATCGATTTTTATCGATTTTTTTGCTGAGTTCACCTACGGGGCTGGGAGTTGGCACAGGGGGGTAATCGAGCATGCAGATTACGAATACTATATTGGTTTTCAGGATTATCAATTACTTTTATCGATTTTATCGATTTTTTTGCAAAGTTTGAGCTACGGGGCCGGGAGTTGGCACAGGGGGGGGGGGTAATCGAGCATGCTGATCATCCCCAAGGGGGGTGATCAGCATGCTCGATTACACCCCTGTGCCAAATTCCAGCCCCCTAGCTCAAATTTTCAAAAAATCGATAAAATCGATAAAAGTAATGGACGATCTTGAAAACTAATATTGTATTCGTAATCTGCATGCTCGATTACCCCCCCTGTGCAAACTCCCAGCCCCGCAGGTCAAACTTTACAAAAATAATCGATAAAATCGATAAAAGTAATGGACGATCCTGAAAACAAATATTGTGTTCGTAATCAGCATGCTCGATTACCCCCCTGTGCAAAATCCCAGCCTCGCATGTCAAAATTTACAAAAAATCGATAAAATCAATAAAAGTAATCGATAATTCTGAAAACTAATATTGTATTTGGAATCCCCATGCTCAATTCCCCCCCTGTGCCAACTCCTAGCCCTGTAGGTGAACTCTGCAAAAAATCGATAAAAATCGGTAAAATCGACATCGATCGATAACGAAAAGTGGACTGTGACACCCGCCGGGGCCCGAAGTGTATGTGTGCCAAGTTTGGTCCGGATACGGCGGAGCCGGGTAAGCCAGCTAGTTTGTCCATAAAACTTGGAAATCCTAAGAAGAATTTCGCGCCCATAAAGTCCGTCTCCTATTTTAGCCAGCGGGACCATGTTAGCCCCCTCCTTTCTTTATGGGCAGAAGTGAGAATTCCCCAGTGAAAAGAAAACCATAAGTTTCTTTCGACAAATTGTAATTTGTCCATAAAACTTGGAAATCCTAAGAAGTATTTCGCGCCCACAAAGTCCGTTTCCTATTTTAGCCAGCGGGACCATGTTCGCCCCCTCCTTTCTTTATGGGCAGAAGTGAGAATTCCCCAGTGAAAAGAAAACCATAAGTTTCTTTCGACGAATTGTAATTTGTTCATAAAACTTGGAAATCCTAAGAAGAATTTCGCGCCCATAAAGGCCCTGGTCTATTTTAGCCAGCGGGACCATGTTAGCCCCCTCCTTTCTTTGTGGTCAGTAGTAAGAATTCTCAGTAAAAGAAAAACCGAAAATTTCTTCGACAAATTTGAAATTTCGTCTGTAAAACTTGGAACTCCTTAGAAAAATTTCGCGCCCATAAAAGCTCTGGTCTATTTTTGCCAGCGGGACCAGGTTCGCCCCCTCCTTTCTTTTTGGGCAGAAGTAAGAATTCCTCAGTGGAAAAAAGAACTGAAAATTCCTTCGACAAGTTTGAAATTTCGTCTGTATAACTTGAAACTCCTAAAAAGAATATCGCGCCCATAAACTCCCTCTCCTATTTTAGCCAGCGGGACCAGGTTCGCCCCCTCCTTTCTTTTTGGGCAGAAGTAAGAATTCCTAAGAACTCCTCAGTGAATAGAAAACCAAAAGTTCCTTCGACAAATGTGAAATTTCGTCTGTAAAACTTGGAACTCTTGAGAAGAATTTCGCGCCCGTAAAGACTCTGGTCTATTTTAGCCAGCGGAACCATGTTCGCCCCCTCTTTTGTTTATGGGCAGGAGTAAGAATTCCTAAGAATTCATCAGTGAAAAAAACCGAAATTCTTTCGACAAATTTTTCATTTGTAAAACTTGGAACTCCTAAGAAGAATGTCGCGTCCATAAAGGCCCTGGTCTATCTTTGCCAGCGGGACCAGGTTCGCCCCCTCCTTTCTTTATGGTCAGTAGTAAGAATTCCTCAGTAAAAGAAAAACCGAAAATTCCTTCGACAAATTTCAAATTTCATTTGTAAAACTTGGAACTCCTAAGAAGAATGTCGCGTCCATACAGGCTCTGGTCTATCTTTGCCAGCGGGACCAGGTTCGCCCCCTCCTTTCTCCTCGGGCAGAAGTAAGAATTCCTTAGTGAAAAGAAAACCAAAAGTTCTTTCGACAAATTTCAATTTTCGTCCATAAAGCCTGGAAATCCTATGAAGAATTTCGCGCCCACAGAGGCCCTGGTCTATTTTTGACAGCGGGACCATGTTCGCCCCCTCTTTTGTTTATGGGCAGGAGTGAGAAGTCTTCAATGAGAAAAACCTAAAAGCGTTTGACAAATTGTTTTTTCAATTGTCTTGAAACCTTGGATCCCCTAAGGAAAAGTTTGTGCCGCATTAAGTCCGTGGTCCTTTCTGCCAGAGAGACCACGTTCGCACTGCTCTGTTATTGTGAACAAAAGTAGGATTTTCTCATTGGAAAAACCTGGGAGTACTCGACAATTGTTCACTTGTCTATGAAACCTTGCGATTCTATAGAAAAAATTCGTGCCGCATTAGGTTTTCTCTTAACGAGGCCATGTTCATCCTGCCTCTTTTCTATTTTAAGGGCAGAAGTAGGATTTTGTTGATGTCTGAACTGTCAGAATTCTGAATGAACCTTCGGCAGATTTCGAAAATCTGTCTGTGAAAGCTTGGAATTTTTGAGAAAAAGTTCCTGACGCATTAACTCAGTGGTTCTACTGGCTTCCCCGCGAGGCTGATGTTTCCACGCTGCTGTTTTGAATGCGAAAGTTAGATTTTGCTTAAATATCCTACATTCATGAAAATTAGTTGTTCTAATTAGCGACCCATAAAATTACACAAATTAGTTGCGAAAGATATTTTGCGTCAAAGCGTTTTGCCTTAGAGGTGCTAAGCTGTTTTCGTGCGTTACTGAAGTTCCTACGTTGCAGTCCAAAAAGCGAAAGTGAGGTTCTCATTAAATACTTCATATGTTATGAATTGTTCTTGTTCTGTAATTGTTCTTTCCCAAATCTAACCCCTCCCTCCCTCCCCCCCCCCCACTTCAAGAACACAATTCCAGGAATGCTCATTTTTTCACAAATTTTACCCCAAGCTTCGAAAGAGTTTTCCATAGTTCTCCTAGAACTTGTGTGTGAAAGGAATATGAAATTTCCAGAAGGAGGTTAAACAGACGATATGTGTAGAATGAGGGTGACAGAAAGCTGTTAAGTGATGTCAAAACTGCAAGCTCGTATTGCGAGTGGAATCAACGAAAGTGAGATCGATAGCTGGAGCGATTCCGTACAGAACCTTTCAGCTGCCATGGCACATCGCTATTTCAACACACAGCAAGTGCAGCATCAAAATCGATAAAGGTGGTCGATAGGTAATCGATGCTTCTGAAATCTTAATGGTTTTGTGATCAGCATGTACACATACACCCCTAAGCCAATTTTTAGCCGCTTACCTCAAAAGTGAAAAATCTCCGCTCCGCCTCGGGACCCGTAGTGCAAGCAAATCTCTCGCTGACATAATGGCTACTGGCCTCTCCTCCCATCATCATTGAGCGCCGTTATATTTTCACATTCCTTTTTTTGGAATCCTTCAGCAACCGGACCCTCCTGCATGCATTCGGTTAAGGATAGGAGGGACGCAGAAAACTCTGCCGTCGCGCTTGGAAGGATCAAGTGTATATTATGGTAAGGATGAATGGTGGTGCAATGCTTCTCCAAGCGCAATCATGTACACTAAAACGTAGATGGTGCATACAAAAGGAGCCCAATTTTTTGATTTTTACTGTTTTTCAGTTTTTGTTTTCTTTCTTCTGCTTCTTCTCGTGAACATGCATAGGATTATCGTAATTTTTTTCTTGCAAATTCACAAGTTAAGGACAAGTCGCATTACAATTTACTAGTGTGACAGGTGCCGACCCCTGCACAAAAAGACATTCTGCATATTAGGCGCTGCCAACGGTGAGAGAAATCAAAAATGGCAAAACTTTATAAAACTTACCGTATTCCTATAATAAATAGAAAGTGAATGCTCTGTTTTGTGAAAGTGAGTTAAAGGCGGATCATTATGTTAGCAGGAGACGAATGAATGACATTGAAATTTAAGGGGCATAAGCAAATGGTCGACACTTCGTCGCTTATACAATTGAACTAATAGAATCTACTAAACCCAGTATAACCTAATATACACTCACAATACCACAGACAATTGCATATGTAAGAATCATACAAAAGATAAAGAGACAGCAGTATACGGCTTGAAAGTTTCTTTGCAGGCATAACGAAGATTTCGCGTATTTTCCTATTAAGCCAAAAATGTTTCAAACGATTTATCTTGTATTAAGAGATGCCTTAATTCTTGAAATAAATTATACATGGAAAATCAACTCCTTTGTTAATCGCTTCAATTCCAGAGAAGGAATTTTGCGTTAAATCACCCGGAAAGTCTTCGAAATTGTGAGTATGCACTAATCTGCTATGAGTTTGCACCTTAATCACGCACTGCATGTCGTTAATGGAAATTTGCACTAAAACCATGGATATGCTTTAGAATCTTCATATGCAACTACTACGGTCAAAAGAATTGGCAAGCGAGTTATTTTTTCATGAACGAAGACGAATGTCGAAAGGATTGCCCAAGTATAATTTATATCTCTTCTACCAATACTTGTAAACTGACTAGTACAACACTACAGAAATACAAAAATTTGGAAGGCCTTTATCAACGACAACCACAGTCACATCGCCAACTTCCACTACGGCAGCATCATCTTCTGATGCAAGCGCTGCTAGCGAAGCAAGTTCCAGCAGTGAAGCGACAAGTACCACCACCGAAGCAAATGTCATTGATGATGAAGTACTGGTACTTTGCAAAAAGATGAATGCGAAGAAGGACAACTCGACGAGATATGCCTGCAAGCGCGATGGCAAGCACTTCCCAAGGGTGCCTACGTGCGAGCGTCATTGCAGAGGTAGAGAATATCTTACTCTTTCCAACATTTTTACTTCATCTTTTTTTCAGAGTGAAATTATTGAACTGCCAACCTTTGAATAATCTAATTAACCAATCAACCCTCCCATATCCTCTGTTTTTAATTTCTCATCTTAAAAAAGCTTTATAAAAGTAGTATTCAATCACATTTTACAACTCACTATTTTCGTATGCATACGATAACTTTGTGCAAATTCGTTTCCTAGAGCTTGCAAAAATGTCAAAATTATTTCTTTTTGGAGTAAGATACTATTAAAATCAACTAAGGAACCTCATTAGCAACGGAAGCTCAAAATCACAAGATGGCCGATATCATAACATGTGTGCATCAGTAGCGTTGTGTAAAGACGTAACAGAATATAGCTATTTACTTAATCTTAAAGAGCTTTAGGTTGTTTCATAGGTTCCATTTGCAGTCTCCCATCACTTTCTCCCTCTTCGCTTGATTTGCAGCAAAATGCGTACGTCTTTGAGAAAGGGTGATATGCTCATAGAAATGTACTTATCATGATGTAAATCTTACTCAATCCAAGTTCTCACCTTTCCAAATCAAAACTTTTCAGAAGGCGTAGAGAAACCTTGTTCGCTGATTGCTCATTTTTTCACAGAAAAAAGGTTTTTCATGCCTATTTTGTGCCATTTGTGGGAAATCGCTTTGCACGTCAACGTAAGGCTGAAAGAATCGGTTTTTTCAGAAAGATCAAGAAAAACAGAATGTTCTTTGAGCAAGACTTCTTGGGGCAGGGCCTACTTTACTGAAAGCTGCTAGAAACAACTGTGCAATCGCTCACATGAAACGTCTTGTTTAGAAAACAACATGTTCCCTTCATCGTTTCACTTAAGGTCGTCCAGAACTCTGCCGACTCGATCTTGTTAACAATGAAGACAGGTTTGTCTGCGTGCGGGAAAGCAACAGGAGCATCAGTTACGATGTCCGGAATCGAAGCAAATGTGAAGACGAATGCAGTGGTACGTCAAGATTCTAACATTTTGGCGTAAAAAATACGGATTGTCAAGGTAGAGTTAGCAAGTCAAACTCAAATCAACACAGCGGTAAAGAAAAACACATTTGCCTCAAAGTCACTATCTTTTGTCACTCTCAGTTGCTTATTTTTCGGCCATCCAAATACCAAGGAAAGTTTTGGAGAGTGAAGAATGCATGTTCTATGTTTTTGCAGTCAGTACGGGAAAATTTTCAATTCGTACCTTTTTGTTGCTCTCGAGTTATTTGGTCTTGATATCATATCTAGATCTCAAATTACCTGAAATTCTAGAATCCCCGCTTAAAAAAACCTTATCTTGACGAACAACCAGTATTTTGACTCTAGTTTTTTGCGGGCTATTTGAATATATGTATCGCAGACGGATATACTCTGCAGATTAAAGGTGAAAGTGGGCAGGCGGAGGAACAAGGCAGGCGGAGGACCACTTTCAAAGTGATTTTTCCGCTTCATATGTCAAATCATGAGATTGCTTCGGGTGATATCTTATGCTTAGTTGCTTAGCATACTACCGTACTACGTGAAAAGCTACTATCACCCCATCCCCCTCCCTCCCCCACTTTTGCCTGGACGCTGTCCTAAGAGGTATTCCCAGGTTCAACGTTCCCCGGCCAAGTCTCTATCGATGAACTAACCCCTGTGCCTCCATTCAGCTATTTCTCCTTGTCATGCGGTAAACAAGTAGGAAAGCAATTCTGCCACTTTGGACCGCATGCATTGACATCTCCACCGGGGAGGGATAGCCGCTTGGAAGAAAGCTTCAATAAAGCTCCAGATATCTGAATTTCACGCTGTCTACCTATCCGTAAGCATTCCCCTCATTTTCACTATGAACATATTGAATAAGAGCAAGAACCTGTACAAGTCGCAATTTCCAGCATTGTATGATCCTCTGATGATCCCGGCGGCCGACCGTTCCCTTAAAGTCGTTTTTCTTTCTTCGAATGCAATGAAAACGCCCAAAGTTGTTCTGATTACCTAACCAACAGTGCTAAGCTGTTGCTGTCAAGAACATGATGCATTGGAATTTGCGATGAACCACAGGACGAAAGTTAGGGTTTATAGAAAAATTGATGTGCTCAAAATTAATTTGTTCTCATTTTCTCACCAACATTATGTTTAGCACTGTTGGTAGATAATCAGTACAACTTTGAAAGATTTTCGTTAACTTTGAAGAAAAAAGAATGGCTTGAAGAAAAGGTCGGCCGTCGGGGATGCCAGGGGATCACACAAAAAGCTGGAAAATGCTATGTACTACTTTTTGCTCTTGTTCAATATGCCCATGTAAAAGATGGTGGAGATATTTGCGCATAGATAAGACGCTTAAAATCCAAATACTTGGAATTTCAAATATAAAGCTTTTTTTGAGCTGCAATCCCCTCCTCGGCAGGGATGTTAATGCAGCCTTTGTCCCTGTTTTGTTCGGCGGGGATCTATTTTGCCACGGTGCAAACTTTGGAGCACTTGTATCCGTTTTCGAAAAAAAGGCTACAAAACGGTGCTTTTCAATTTGATGTTTTCCGAACTCCATATCAGAGATCAGAACCATGAAAATGCTCGAGAAAGGCAAGAAATGATCACCAACTTGGACAGTGCCTTTGAGGCAACCAATAACAATTTTCGGTTGAATAAAAGACGAGAAAAAACTTGGAAATTGTGCAAACTTCTTTGCATCACTGTTATACAGGTTCCGTTGTCCTAAAAAGGTGTGAATGCTGTTTGATCGTTAATAATTCTCTTGCTTTCATGTCTTTCGCCAAGCTTAGAGTATCATTTTGTTTTAACTTATTGTTAGATTTAAGTATTAACCGGATCATCAATCACTCTTTATTACTGTAGGGTTACGGGACCTTTGGTGCTACGTGAGCAGGGTTCAAAATGGCTGTTTAATGACGCAGAGAATGTGTTTTTTGTCGAAATGTTCTTTCCGGATGAGCTGTGTACCGTTTTGGTGTGAATCAAACGCTGACTTTGGAACTCTTTTTAGTATCTGCAGGGCACCTCTGGACGACGAGTTATAAGTGTTTTCTTGACGAGAAATGGTTGTACGATCTACATGAATTTAGGGCCGCGTGCACTAACATCCCCGCGGGGAGGGGATCGCAGCTCAAATAAAGCTTCATATTTCGAAACTCCAGATACCTGGATTTCACGTTGTGTACCTATCCGTAAGTATTCCTATTACCCTTCACTATGAACATGTTGAACAGGAGCGAGAAGCTGTACGAACCGCATTTTCCAGCTTTTGTATGATCCCTGATGATCCCTGGCGCTTTTCTTCAAAGTTTTTCTTTCTCCGAAGTTAACGAAGAATCTTCAGAGCTGTGCAGATTGTCTAACCCGACAGTGCTAAGTATGTTGCTGCTAAGAACAAATGATGTTTTGAAGACATGAAATTTGCGATGATCCACAGGTCGAAATTTGAGGCTTACCGAAAAATTCTACTTTTCAAAAACTCATTTGTTCTCATCAGCAACATGCTTAGCAGTATTGTGTTAGATGTTCAGTACAACTTTAGAAGGTTTTCGTTAACTTCGGAGAAAGAAAAATGACTTTAAAGAAAAGCGCCGGGATCATCAGGGATCATACAAAAGCTGGAAAATGCGGTTTGTACAGCTTCTCGCTACTGTTCAACATGTTCATAGTGAAGGGTAGTAGGAATACTTACGGATAGGTAGACAGCGTGAAATCCAGATATCCGGAGCTTCACGATATGAAGCTTTCTTCTGAAGCTGCGATCCCCTCCCCGAGGGAATATTAGTGCATGCGGCACTTAGTCTTTTCCCTCTCCCCCCCCCCCCCCTCCCCGAACTCTGGCTCTAGAGTACATAGTAAGTGTGAGTATATAGAGAAAAAATCTCAAAATACCTTGAAACTTGAACCATTTGCGCGGTTCCGAATAATTTTGGTTCACTTACGCCTTCCAAAAACACTTGTCGTCAAGAGGAGCACAGTAGATTGCGACTTCATCTGAAAAGATCACTAGAACCATTTCGGCCAAAAATGCACTCCTTGTAAGATGCGCAGTGCAGCTACTGCGAGCAAATTTTCTATGTCCAGATTTTTTTTTTAAATCTTGACGGGAGTTGATGAGCGAGTAGAAGACCGTTGAATATTTTGGGCAAAAATATAGATTTCAATTTTCGGAATTCACAACTTGTTAGTTCTTTGCTGCAAAATTGAGGTGACGCTGGTGCGAACATTTACAACACTATCTTTTAGAGCTTATCTTGCTCTATCAAATGACGCCTGCAATCTGTTTAGAATTGGAAAGTATATATTGTTTTGGTGTAAAGTCAAACTTGAAAAAATTTCGGATACCTCGAGTGCAGTTTGAGAAGTTTGATTCAAAGATTGTGAAGCAACAGCTGCTGCCAGAAGTTCCTACACATGCATAATGCAGTTTGGCGCAAAGTCACGCTTGAAGGCGATGAAGAACTTTGAAAGATTTTATATTCAGCAACAAATTGTCTTTGTTGGTAAAATAAATTATACACAGAAATCCAATTTATTCTTTTCTAATTTATTTCTAAACTGGCTTCAATTTCAGAAAAAGAATTTTGCGCCAAGCAACCCGGAGAGTTTTCGGCAGGGACACAGTGAGTGTACATTAGTTTTGAATAAGTTCGGATGTCAATCACGAACTGCACATCATCAATCGATTCGCACCAAACATATGGATACTTCTGCATTGAATCCCAAACAATTTGCTTTAGAATCTTCACATGCAAGTACTACGGTTATAGAAATTCCGCAGGGGTTTCTTTTTTCACAAGCAAAAGCAAGTGTCGAGAGGAATGCCCAGGTATAGCTTATTTCTCTTCCACCAATACTACTGAACTGATAGATACAACGCTACAGGAATACAAATACGTGGAACAGCTCAAACCACGACTTCAACCACTACAACAACCACTACCACCGAAACTACGACTCCAACCACCACAACAACCACCACCACCGAAACTACGACTCCAACTTCTACAACAACTACTACCACCACTACAGAAACTACTATTCCTAGCAGTATAACCACGACTAACAGCGAAGTTAGTACGACAGAACCGATGACACCACCGCGAAGTAAGTATATCTACTTCTAGTCGTTTGTATAATTATTCATCATGCTCCTACTACATAACTTGAAGAAACAGTAGACTTGAGGCAGAAAACGGATCTGAAGCAACACTAACTTATGAGCTAACTTATACACATGCCTAATCGATCCAGTTGATCCGCTTGATTCACCTGATTCACTTCGCTATCAGTCAAATTAGTGAAATGGCCACAAGCAAAGTTAATGGAGTTGATTAAGTGGACATTCGCTTCGCTATTGGGCAATCGACACACGCCATAATTGACCCAATGGTCCGCTTGATCCACTTCGTCCGCTTCGCTATTAGTCAAATTAGTGGGGCCACTAGCAAGTGGGTTGGGGAATGGACCTCTTTTTTGATGAATTTAGGAAGCGGATCCTCCATGTACATTGTAGCCCAAACCCCACCTCCCAATTCATGTGCTAAGTCCTGAAAAATTCGCTGAAAAATGCAAGTGGGCGGGGCTGGTGGAGTTTTGAAGCGCATTTTTCAGGACTTAGCATGAATTGGGAGGTGGGGTTTGAGCTACAATGTACTTGGGGGTCTACTACGTAAATCCACCAAAATTCGAGAAGGGTCCATTTTGCCGCCTTTAATAACGAAGTGGACGAAATGGATCAAGCCGATCAAGTGGATCGAGTATAGCGCAGGCCTTATGGCAGTACCCGGGCAAATCTGGGCCTATGGATTTTCACCTGGAAAGTGAAGAGGGGTTCCTAAATTAGGTGCTGGCCGCGGCAACGCATATATTTCACTCACGATTGAAAAATCCGTTCCAACTCCACGAATGATCTAGGATGGTTTCAGCACGAACAGAATGTGAGCGAAACCATTTTCGTTTTACTGTCAAGACGCAGGCGCGAAAGGTTTGGGGATGGATTTCTCAGCCGTGAATAAACAATTTGCGCCTCCCCTTGGGCAGTGCCCTTAGGATCCCCTCATCAAAGTCTCATCAAAGTTTAGGCAAAAAAGTCATGCTCCCAAATTTGTCTGGACACTGCCTTTAAACGTAATTTTGTAGTGTTTGCTTCAATCTGTAGAATGGTACCTCGCAACCTTTTAAAAGTACAGTTAAACTGACTTATGGCGGTGAAAATGCAGATATGAAAGACTTATGGGGCATCCCAATAAAAAGTGTAGGGGTTACAATGCGCGGTTAGCAAAGAAACATTACGTTATGAAGCGTACATTATATTCTAGCCAAGGCTTGTCTTAATGCCGAATGACAGATGTACAAAAATGAATGAGAATGCTTGCGCGCAAAATGTTAGGTTGCGCGCCTTTGCTCCGCCCCGCTCGAAGATTCTGCAATCGCAGCCGGCTCTGCGGACCAATGGGGCCCTTGGCCATGGCTATCGTTCGAAAATGCGTTTTTCGCAAGCAGCTGATTAAGGTGGCACTACTAGTCATAAAGAAAGAAAATTTTTTTCCTGTGTAAAGAAATAAGACGATACTGATGCTTTCTTTCATACATTCATAATCTTGAAAATACATCTGTTTAGGCGGCTTTGATTCAGAAAATTGATTAAGCTCAGTTTTTTAACGCTTTCCACTGCTCTTCGGCAGCATTGAAAAAGTCACCTGGGCTGTTATCTTATAGGAAGTTCCATCGTGCGAAATGCAAAAAAATAAGATTGTCTGGCTATAACGTTTCCCAGAACTTGCCTTGACAATTGTAATTGTTACGTCACTTGGCGGTTTGCCAGATGCAAATCCATACAGGCAATATTTGGGAAGTCGGATGATATGCATTTCCGTATATTTGAAGTGCACTTACCGTGAGATTGAAACGATTGAAGTATTGTCAAAATAGGGAAGCCAATTAAGTGAGGTATAGCCTTAGCCATGAAAAGATAGGTGCACCAGATTCGGGGTCAAGCATGGGGTTGTGGCATGCCACGCCCGGGGGTCGTATTGCGGGATCAAGAAGATTGACGGGGTCACTGAGATGATTTTTGTTGGTAGCATGGTATTGTTAACTCGTTGATGACAACGCCTGCGCAATGGTGCTCGGCATCTATCCAATTTTAAGGTATCAAATTATTCTAGTTTATATTCAGACGATCATTCCAAGCTAAGAGGTATTTAAGATTGTCCCCGCTTCTATTTTGGCGAGCTCCACCCACTCCATTGCCTTCTACAAGAAGCTTTTTTCGTTCTTAAAGCGCGTAGAAAAAGCCATAAATGACCGCAAAACCTCAAGCGATTTCAAGTTCGCCCCACCTTATTAGGCAAGCCCCGCCAATCTGCCAAGCTCCGCACACTTTTCAAAAGTGTCGCAATTCACACGCATTCTCGAACTTCAAGCAGAACCCAGCATTTGTCGAGCTGGCGGGACTTGTCAAAAAAGGGCTGCGAGCTGCTCCGTTCACTGTATTTTGCTCTTCACGCATAGATGCATGCTTAGATACATACAGCCAGGCGTAAAAATGCAGAGAAGCCCTTTTGTCCACAGGGAAAGACACCTTGCAAATACTAGCACATTGATTTTGGCCCAATACCCTATACGTCAAAACATGATAAAAGATCTACAAAAGCGTAAAAGCGTCGTTTTCGTAATCAGCATGTCAAGTAACCCTTACGGCCTAAGGCATACATCGTGCGATTCCTGTCGCTGCGCGATTTGGCACAACAGCACTCTCTGTAACTCGTCGTTAATGCGTTTCTTCCCGTCAGAACTTAAGCCATTTGCAACAAGTTACACAAGCTACCCGCCCATGCATTCGAGAAGCGCGCACGATAAATTTGTAGAAATCTGGCAAATCTCCAAATCGCGTGAGGTATGCCTTAGGCCCATGGGCCAAGTTTCAGCAAATTATGTAATTCAAACTAAGCCACTCAAGTGAGGTGGCATTTTTGATCATGTTAACTTTGTTTTGATGATGAGTTGACTACCTCTTTTTGTGCTTAATACGAAGAAGTACCTTTTTTGCTTATTTAAGAAATCCTACTGCAAATAGCCTCCAAGTTAAGGAAAGAGCAAGCCAAAATCTTGTTTTCATTTTTCGCTTTCAATATCTCAAATAAGCAGTAGGTGTCGCATGATTTTCGTCGGGGGGGGGGGCAAATTTTTTTGAACGAAGGTGCGTGGCGTCAGCCAGCACTCCAAAAAAACTTTTTTACAAAGCTAATTTGAATTTTCAAATATTTTTAGAAATTATAATGATTTTTTACAAAAATAAACAATCTTTTGCACATTTCTATAACCCATATAAGTAAATGTCAAGAATTTCGATCCACCGCTGCAAACTAGAAAAGACCAATCATGCTCAAATCACTTTAGTGCAAATTACGAAGCTTAGACTATCGAAAATATACCCTGATTTCACGCATATAAGACCGGGGAATTTTTTTGAATTGAACAGCGCAGATACTCCAAAGGACTTCGCGATCAAAAACTATTCACAGTGCCGCATATTGCTAGAAAGTATCGTGCGGTATAATTCTCGTTCTCCGAAACACAACGAGGCGGCACACTTGCAATACCGAACTAACAAACTATTTGACTAATGATTTAAGCTGGCTACAATTCAATATTTCATTCTTCATAGAACTTTCAGAGCAAGTAATCAGAAACTCAGTCTAGCACTTGCTAGACGCACAAAATGAGACTTATCTTTTCATAGGCTTGAACTAAGGCAACCGTTCGTGCTATTTTTGCTACTTTTAAGGTGCAATATCTTGTACTAAAAGCTCAATAGTTTACTTCAGACTCGAAAAAGCTTCCGGACATCTCATCGCAAAGCAATTATTGACAGTTTTGTTGTTCTATCAAAAATTTCGAAGATATAGCCTTTATTTACCGTAGCGAATTAACGACATTTGCGAGGGAAATTATGCAATTTGCAAGGGCAGCTTTGACAACTTTGTAACCTGCAAAACTTCCGACTTCTGCGCAAAAATAGAGAGATTGACGAGATTCGCCTATAAGATGTGGCTTGTTCGATCTGAGTTGCTTTTCTGTACTTTGAAAAAATAAGTTAGTAACAAAAAAGAGAGCGATAAGAATTCTTAGAAGACCCTCGCAACAGTAAGCGTGTTACGTTTTTTAAATTAGACTGTCGCGTTTGCTGACACAAGCGGTTGCAAAAACTTCAATCCAGCAAAAACTGGGCACATTAAAAAAAAGACTGATCTCAAAAAATAAGCATAGGAGAGTGCACGTTGTTCAAAACCTATGTGTTTTATACTCAAAATTGAATTGACATACTAAATTTAGTGCCCGATTGCATTGAATGGACGTACCAAGGCATTTTGTAAGTGTAAATGTATCGTGTTCGTTATGATTGTTCAAGCAATAGAGTTCGTTCCAGATTGTTCCTATGCTACGAAAATAGAGAAGTTTACATGGACAGCGGCCTTTGTATGAAAAAATGTCGAGGTTAGTGTTTAACTATTTCGTATCGTTATTATTCTCACTACTCCTATAATCGAGATTATTGCCATAAAATCTATGGCAAACAATCCAACGTGTTGAGTTCAACAGATGTGCATTTACACTGAATAGCTGCAAGTTTCACCAGCTTTACACTACATCAACAGCTGATTTCATTTCACCCACAAAACGTTAACACATTTTTTGTTATAATAGCGGAAACAAGCCATCAGAACACAAACAAACATTAGAGCTTGTGGAATAACGAATATTTTGGAACAGAAACCGTCCAGTCACCTTTTGACTTGAGCATCTTCCCTCTCATTCTCTTCTTTTGTTCCGGCAATCTTTTTGAGGTCAAAGTAGAGACGGACAGTTTAGCGAAACAGTAATGAAGTATTACGTGTTACATATCTCTCACAAAAAAGATTTTTTATGATGGATATGTATTAGAATATGTGTTTTGAAATAGACTATCAAATTATGATATGACGATTTTAGAACAACATGAATAACATGGCAGGTTTGAAATATTAAGTTATGGAATTTTAGAGACAACACCGACATCACCATCAACGGTTACTGGTACGACACAAGGTTGGTTTGTATTCTGTGTCGATTTCATTTTGATGAGTATGCTTGCAAAATTATTAGTTATGTGCTAAACTTGATTTGGAAACAAGATTCAACGCTTGCAGGTTGCTGCATTTTAGAAACTTTGTGATTTTACATCACCCTCTCCCTAGGTTTAGAGCAATTCGTGAAAAATAACAATGCATTGCTTTTACTGCAACTCTGAATATGAATGTTTGTCCAATGGCGAAGAGTAGTACCGAAGGTAGTGCTAAATATCAAGTTGAAGCTTTAAGCACTTGTTATCTCTGAAGCGCGTTAAAGCACCCAAATTGATCTTGTAAGAACCATAAAACGTATAGTTGCCTTGTATCAAAACTCAAACTGTCTATGAATCCCCACAAAACTAATTCAAATCTGTGGAAAAAAGACGCGTGTTAAAAGCCAGCGCAAGCTAACAAGGCTAAGGCTTTTCAAAAAATTGTTTGACTTTTGTTAGTATTACCTTACTAAACACATCCCGCAACTTGGCACACACTGGCGTGTGTTAGTCACATAATATAAAAATTACATAATGAACAATGCCTAGTTTCTCTGACCCCGTTTTTAACAAGCAAACAAAAACTGACGCTCAAATTTTTATTGGAAAGGCTGCTAATCATCTTTCTTCCTAGTTGTGAGGCAACAGTGAACATGCGGAATGGGCTCCACTGATAAAGGGCAAAATAAAAAAGAAAATAATAATCTCAGTCTTTTATTTTAATCCCCGCTGAAGTATTTCTGAGAGTCTCGATTTGGGAAATTTTCAATTTCTCAACGTTGGATAGTCAAGTTTCATTGTATTATGTAGACGATACATATCACATATATAGACTATGTTCCCATAAGAGTGCGATTATTTGCTTTTGAATTTCAGCCAAAAAAGTGGATGCAGTGAAAAATTCAAATAATGTGAAAAAACGAATTAAAACAATTGAAAACTGTGATTAGTATTGCTTAGTGAAATAAGAATTATTGACAATATAAGATTTAGTGCCAGAATGCGAAGAGTGGAGATTCCTTGAAACTAGGTACGTAAAATAGACGGTTTAGGCTAATTTGATTTCAGCAAAATTATGTTTCAGGTATTACTGGTGCGAGAAAGAGCAATATTTCGACTTCTTCAGAGACAAATGTCTTAAAAAATGTCAAGGTTAGTGCTATTTTTACTCTTAGAAAGTCAGATAGCTTTCGTCGCTTAACAAATTTGCCATGTGGAAAACTATGCTCATAAATAGGGGTGGCAGGTGATACCCAGCTAAGCTGACAGTGGGTATCGCACAGTCTACTCTAAGGCCTCATAAGTAAATGATGCTAAGATAGTGTGTCTACTCTGCTAACAACACTGAAGGGTCTAACATTATTTCTGTATAAATTCATACTTTTGTGCGATAATGGGATCAGGGTCAAGCAAGGGGTGTGGCACACGATCGCTGGTTACCACCCCCCCCCTGATTGCTGTCCTAATAAGACCCCCCCCTGAACTATCCACTCAAGATAGCATTACTTGAAGGCCCTGTCAAACATAATGGGCAACATATCCACAATTAGCATGTCAAATACCCCTGTAGACAAAGTGTGAGCGAATTCCGAAGGTTGCGGCGGCCGCAGCTTTCAAAGGCAGCTTCCAGGCAAGATTCATCCACCCAGATTAGCACATAATTGTAAAGAGGAGCCCATGAGTATTCGATCTGCGTTGGTCTGATCCTTTGACGTGGCCTCTAAAAGGAGATACGGGCCTGTGATACGTATCACAAACCACCCCTTCGTATCACAAACCACCCCTGAGGACAAGTGCTCACGCAGGTGTGCAGTTGCGCTGCAGTTGCACTGCACACTGCAATGCAACTGCATCCGTGCAGTGCAGCTCCTCAAGCTGGCACGCGATGGGGACGAGCAATCCAAAACTCGTCCGCTCCTTGAAGAGAGGGTCTCCAAGAATTGGGTTTTTTGGGGGTTTTGAACAATTTGGACTTCACAACAACATTCAGGGCCACGGAAAGGCAGAAATATGAGAGGCAAAATTTTGCTCGGACGCTGCCTTTAAAGGCAGCGGCTCGGCAGATTGACCCACCTCAGATTTTGGCACAGATGGATAGAAGGCCCTCCAAGTGAACCAAAACAGCAATTGCGCGCCGAATGAACTCCGCAAGCCAAAGGGGCAGCCCAAGGCCTCTCCCCTTTCTCCTTTCGCTCCCCTAACACCTTGTTCTCCGCTAGACGGCGCTGGACCCCCCAACCGCTTCCCCGCTATACAAAGCCAAAATTGCAGGCAGCAGGGTCTTCGTGCCAGGGCCTCCCGACTTTCCTTTGAAATTCTCGTCCAAGCTGCCTTTTGGAGCTTGAAAAAAAACGCCCCGAAAAACGCCTTTTCACCGAAAAAAAAACGCCCCGAAAAACGCCTTTTCACCCCTTTTAAAGCTCAGATTCGGGATCTACGGGTCGAGAAGGCCCAAAACATGAAAAAGATGGAAATGCAAAATCTGCCGAGACGCTGCCTTCAAAGGCAGTGGATCGGCAAAACTTGACAACTCAGGATCTTATCGCAGTAGGTTCCTTATCGTCCAAGTAGAAAACATTGCAATCCCGGTTGCACAGCATGCCTTCCCTATCGAGAAAACTGCCTTTAAATTTACACGCGCAAGCCAATCTTACACGCACCCGGACGAGTTGGCAACTTCCTTCTCACCATTGGAGGCTGCCCGCCGCAATGCTATAATCATTGGGTCCCGCAACGATTCAGCGCCATCAGCCTTGCTCCACTCGTCCAATCTTGAAGGGAAGGGGGTTGAAAAACGCTCGTTTTCTCCGTTTTCGAGCTCTCTAAAGTGGATTTTTGTGATCAGCGTATTAAATAACCCCAGGTAAGCGAGGATCTCACTAGGTTGTGATTTGCCGAGCCACTGCCTTTAAAAGCAGCGTACACCCAAAATTTCACCTTCGATGTTTTTGTCATTCTGGGGCCTTTCCGTGCCTCGATTACAGTTATGTCATTGAAATCCTCCGAAAGTCCCAGAAAACCCCAATTTCCGGGGGCCCTCTCTTCAAAGGCGGACGAGTTTCGAACTGCTCGTCCCCGTCGGCATGCCAGCAGCTGCAACAGCCCGAAGGAGGCGCACCGCAAAAAGCAACCGCACTATTGCAACTGCAGTTGCAGATGCAACAGCAACTGCAACGGCAACTGAAGCTTACGCTGTCGTGGATTCGTCCGGAGGAGGCGGAGTGAAAGAAAAGGGGCGGAGTGAAAGAAAATTGAGTGAGGGTTTTCTCCGCTCAGAAGCAACATTGGGAGACCGGACCAACGCAGTTGGTCTTCCTATGGGCCCAGTATATACAGAGTATAGAAAGATCTAGGAAATTCGGTAACTTAGATTTTGGGTGTACGCTGCCTTCAAGGGGGTGTGCCGCACCCCATTAACTATATAAAAAAAACAATTTTAACGGACAGTATTTATATGAATCGATAGCCCAAACCTTGTAGATACATAGGACTGTCTGGAGCCTGATTAGTCTTCTTAGCTCTGAGCAATATTTGGCGAAAGCACAGCGATCAAAAGCGAAAAATGGGAAAAACAAGATTTTGCTTGGCTTCTAATTCCACAGGTTGGAGGTCTTCTGAAACGGGATTCCTGAGGTGGACAAAGAAGGAGTAGTGCTTTGTCTTGAGTGCAAAAACGGATAGCTAATTCACCTTTGAAACAAAAGTTAACCATGTTGGAATTTGACCATTTCACTTAAATAGCCTAGTATCCTGAATCTTCAGAATTCGCTCACACTTTGTCTACAGGGGTTATTTGACATGCTAATTATGGATAGGATACGAATATCATGTTACCACTATTATCAGATTACCCAACTAGGACCCCCTCCCCTGACTCCCCAATACGACCCCCACTCAGACAATCGCTGGGGGCAGGCGGGCACCGGAAAAATAGATTGCTGATTTCTCGCACCCCGCTTGCGGATTTTTTGCAAAACAATCTGGACTTTTCGGAAGACCGCTTGCTGAGTCAGCGGATTTTTGAGAGACCGCCTGTTAAATTTTTTTCGCTCTTATCTTTTGCAGATATATTGCTGAATCTCTGAGGAATCGAGAACTCAGCAAGCGGTCTTCCGAAAAGTCCTGATTGCTTTCCAAAAAATCCGCGAGCGGGGTGCGAGAGATCAGCAATCTATTTTTCCGGTGCCCGCCTGCCCCCGGCGATTGTCTGAGCAGGTGTGGCGTGCCACACCCCACGCTTGACCCTGAATGGGATTGTTGTCAAGCTACGCCACATACTTTGTTCATTGAAACCACTATCAATTTAACTTAAAAACTGGCATCCTCTGTGATACCGATCTTTTCCGGACGTCAAAGGGGAACGCGTTTTTTTCTTGGAAGCATAGAACCACATAAGGTCATAAGTTTTAAGGCAGTCAAATGCTGAAACTGAGATTGCATTTTAATAAATAACTAGTGCAGCGGCGAATCCATAAAGAATTGTTTTACTCTTTCTTCCTAATATTCAAATATCTTTAGGTTCAACCACGACGACAACCACAGAATCGACTACAACAACTTCTACTGTACCTTCTACAACTATAACAAGTACTATTACTGCTACGACAGGTAATGCAAAACAGGTTTTCTTATGGAGACATTATGATGAAATTCGCGGTTTACATCATGCGCATGACAAAATACTCGTAGCTGACTATAATTTTATACTCAATTCTTCTTTATACTCAATTCTTCGCAGAACATTCGGAGCTGAATAAGCAAGAACTCAATCGAGCACTTGCTAAACGCACTAAATAAGACTCATGTTTTTTTGACTTGAATAAGGTAACAGGTTTTTGTTCTTTTGTTCTTCTCAGTGAGAAGGTTTACTAAAATTCTCATTTCATTTGCTTTAAACTAGAAAAAGCGTCCGGATATCCAGTAGTGAAGCAGCTTCACCTTTACAGTTCAATTGCAGATTTAATATTTCTGAAGATATTGCCTTCACTTATTGAAGCAAATTAACGTTTGCGAAAAAATTTCCCAATTTGCAAGAGACAGCTTTAACAACTTTTCTCCATCTTGTCTCTATTCAAACACGCCAAGACTGAGCAGTAATGCTTCTCTCAAGTTCCATTCTAATGTAGTTACTCATCTGCAATTGTAAGAGCATGGATGCAAAATTTTTGAATCAAATTGGATAACACTGCTTACATCACAATTGCATCTATTGCGGCTGAAAACATCAATGTCATCATACATATTTGTTTATCAGAACAAAGTTAGCTAAGTGGATATGCACTAAATGAGAAAAACAGAGATAGAAGTAACGATCAGATATCATTGCAAAGGCTGGATAAGTACGTAACAGTGGCAGTAGCTTCTTTATAGTGGGAAGGAAGCAGGAGGCGAGGAAAATACTTTTTTCTATGCTATAACCGTAGGATTTGACAGTACATTACCAGTGCTACCCATTTTCGTTTTACCGGCATTACCAGTGTTGCTCGTGTTACTTCTGTTACTAGTGCCGCCGCTTTGCAGCAGGAACTTTCAAAGGCATTCCGGGCAAATCTGGGCATACGGGTGAGTGATTGAGTGTATCGTGATGAGTCAAGCGGCACCTTTCTCAATCTGAGGAGGCGCCTCTTCTGTTACTCAACCTATTCAACTGGATTGACGGCTGTAAGGCGGGGCTTTGTAACCTAATCAAGGCCGCTCGCCCGCGACGCTGTTTCGTCTTCCTCTGTTTTCGATTATTCCTCTAGTCTTATCTTAGTCCCGCCTTCCAGCCGCCAATCCAGTTAAATACAAGATAGAAGCGATTGGATAGGTGGCCGATTTTAAAAGTGTTGTAATCGCCAACTAGTAAACTATTGAGAAGCAAAAAATTTATGGAAAGACTCGTGAAACATTTGACTGTAAACTGGCTACCCACCGTATGAGGATCGTAACCAAGCAAAGGTCTCAGCCGGAGAACACATGAACCTGCATAATCTTTAGTAAAAAAGTATATAGTGCTTACGCGCTGGGGTGTACGGCTCACAAACATCCTCACAGTACGAACAAGGTAAACTAGTCGGTTCTTTAATCACTAAGAAATAGCCGAAGTTAGTTTTGAACCATGATACCATTCCTTACCAATAATCTAAAATAACTGTAATGAGGGCTATAATAGAATAAAGTGCTAAATCCTTTTTTTGGCATCTATAGCTTGCCTTTCCTAGATCAAATCATCTTCAATTTACTTTTTGATGATACCAATTCCGTGTTTTACAAAACAAGCGTCACAAAACATCAACCGACAAACTTGAATGTCATTCAATACAGCTCCTCTTCTTTTTCACAGACTTTTGTGTTTCCGACGTAAAGTCTTTGTGGATAAAGCATCATATAATGTTCGCGCACTGGGCTGTACCTGCAAATTTGGATATTTGATTTTCATGAACTCTTGTAGATTTTTACCGACTGTTTCAGTGCCAAGTGGCAGCAACAAGTTCAAAAACACGAAGAGAAAAAAAGAGTCGCCTTGTATTTGAGACTTTGGCCCACTTTTGTTTTACCTGTTTTTTGCTAGCTTGTAAAAGCGAAAAAACACTCCGACTCTGAATTTCTTGTTTAAAGGGACAATGTTCTTTGCATCACTTAAAGTGATCGTTCAAGAAAAATAGTCATATTTTTCTCTTTTCCGAGTAAGTTTTTGAACTAGCTACACAATTCGTTTAAATCTACGTATTAGTCCCGAAACCGATCCAAACTTCCACTCTCCGCTTATACCATCCAAAAATTTTGATGGTGGTGCAATGCTGCTCCAAGCGCAATCACGTGGCCTAAACGCTACGATAGAGTCTATACTGGTTTTACCGTTTTTCAATTTTTGTTTTTTCTTTCTTCTGCTTCTTTTCTCGAGCATGCATAGAACATATCATTTTCCTCCTGCATCACAAGTTAAGGAGAAGTCTCAATACAATTTACTAATGTGACAGGTGCCGACTCCTGTATAGAGGGACATTCTTGATATTAGGCGCTGCCAACGGTGAGAGAGACCAAAAATGGCAAAAGGTTTTCATAAAACTTACCGTACTCCTACAGTATATAGAAGGTAAATGTTCTGTCTTATAAAAGTAAGTCAGAGGCGGATCTTTATGTTAGCGAAAAACGAATAAATCACATAGAAACTAAAGGGGCATAAGCAAATGGACGACACTTCGTCGCTAATATAACCTAGTAAAACGTAATATAATCTAATATACCAGGTTGTCCCGAAAGTTTTGTCCGTTTTTTCAACCTATCATAAAAACGCGTGGAACGAAGATAAGGAAACGGTATAAGCACTTCCCGACGCATCTTTTCCTTCTCTTTCTAAGTGTCATGCTTTCATGCCGATTAATCTTTTGTTCACTGAGATAAACGCCGAAATTTCGAACCCATGGTTTTTACTATTTCCAAGTTTGGCAATTTTTCACAATCTTTATTTTTGATTTTCGGAAAAGCTTTGGGAACAGTTAGATAGGGCAAACAAAGGGCAATATAATGCAAATTTGCGGCATCTATAACCAGCCTTGAAAATTTTTTAGAATTATTTTTCTGATGCTATCAAATTCCACTTTTGGTGATGCCAAAAGCCAGAAATCATGAAACGCGCACAACTAAGGTGTTATTCGATGCAGCTTTTCCTCCTTTTTCCAGTGAGTGTATTTTCTCTCCAATTTGCGGGGTCTTTGGCAATAAAATTTTCATAATTCTTGAATTTGACCTCACCCCAGCGTGTACACGTAAAATGCAAAATCTTATATTTCGAAGCGGTAAACGCTCATTTGTTCGTAAAAATAGTGAATAATCGTAATCAGTTTTTGAAAGCTTCAAAATCCGATGATTTGTTAGTGATCGAGGCGTTTCTGTATTTTAGAACTTCGCGAAAGTGAAGATTTTTGAAAAAATTATCTTTAAAAATATTGAAAAGCCAGCTAGATATGCCAAATAATTGCATTGCATTGCCCTTTGCTTACTCTATCTGAGGGCTATCAAAGGTCTTCCAAAAGTTGAAAATGAAGATTGTGAAAAATTGTTAAACTTGGACATAGTAGAAACCACGAGTTCGAACTTTCGGCGTTTATCTCAGTCAGCAAAAGAGTAATCTGCATGCGGTCTTAACAGTTGGAAAGACGAGGAGAAGTCGCGTCGGGAGGTGCTTAGAGCGTTTCCCTATCTTCGTTCCACGCGTTTTTATGATAGGTTGAAAAAACGGAAAAAACATTCGGGACAACCTAATACATTTACAATATCACACATAATTGTGTATGGAAGAATTATGCAAAATCAGAAGACATGGGTTTGAAATTTTATTTGCAGTTATAACGCTTTCGCATATTTTCATAAGAGCCAAGAATGTTCTATAAGATTTATCTTGCACCAAAAACCAACCTTCAGTCCTGAAATGAATTATGTCCGGAAAATCAACATTTTTGTGATCTTTTCAATTTCAGAGAAGGAATTCTGCACAGTATCACCGGGAAACTCTTCAATACCGTGAGTATGCACTAATCTTGAACGAGTTCGGAATTACGCATTACATTTCATCAATCGAAATTCGCACTGGAATCAAGCATATCACTGCCTTAAATTTCAAACAGTTTGCTTTAGAATCTTCATATGCGAATACAACGGTACTGGAAATTCCTTAGGAACTTCTTTTTTCACGGACAAAAACAAATGTGAAGAGGATTGTCCAAGTATACTTATATCTCTTCCTCCTATACTACTGAACTGACAGATACAACACTACAGAATTAAAAGAACTTGGAAGGCCTTTACCAACGACGCCGAAAGTCACACCGCCAACTTCCACTACGGCAGCATCATCTTCTGATGCAAGCGCTGCTAGCGAAGCAAGTTCCAGCAGTGAAGCGACAAGTACCACCACCGAAGCAAATGTCATTGATGAGGAAGTACTGGTACTTTGCAAAAAGATGAATGCGAAGAAGGACAACTCGACGAGATATGCCTGCAAGCGCGATGGCAAGCACTTCCCAAGGGTGCCTACGTGCGAGCGTCATTGCAGAGGTAGAGAATATCTTACTCTTTCCAACATTTTTACTTCATCTTTTTTTCAGAGTGAAATTATTGAATTGCCAACCTTTGCCTAATAATCTGATTGACCAAACTACCCTCCCATATCCTCTGTTTTTAATTTCTCATCTTAAAAAAGCTTAATGAAAGTAGTATTCAATCACATTTCACAACTCATTATTTTCGTATGCTTACGATAATTGTATGCAAATTCGTTTCCTAGAGCTTGCAAAAATGTCAAAATTATTCCTTTTTTGGAGAAAGATACTATTAAAATCAATTAAGGAACCTCATTAGCAACGGAAGCTCAAAATCACAAGATGGCCGATATCATAACATGTGTGCATCAGTAGCGTTGTATGAAGATGTAACAGCATATAGCTATTTACTTAATCTTAAAGAGCTTAAGGCTGTTTCATAGGTTCCATTTGCATCTCCCATCACTTTCTCCCTCTTCGCTTGATTTGCAGCAAAATGCGTACGTCTTTGAGAAAGGGTGATATGCTCATAGAAATGTACTTATCATGATGTAAATCTTACTCAATCCAAGTTCTCACCTTTCCAAATCAAAACTTTTCAGAAGGCGTAGAGAAACCTTGTTCGCTGATTGCTCATTTTTTCACAGAAAAAAGGTTTTTCATGCCTATTTTGTGCCATTTGTGGGAAATCGCTTTGCACGTCAACGTAAGGCTGAAAGAATCGGTTTTTTCAGAAAGATCAAGAAAAACAGAATGTTCTTTGAGCAAGACTTCTTGGGGCAGGGCCTACTTTACTGAAAGCTGCTAGAAACAACTGTGCAATCGCTCACATGAAACGTCTTGTTTAGAAAACAACATGTTCCCTTCATCGTTTCACTTAAGGTCGTCCAGAACTCTGCCGACTCGATCTTGTTAACAATGAAGACAGGTTTGTCTGCGTGCGGGAAAGCAACAGGAGCATCAGTTACGATGTCCGGAATCGAAGCAAATGTGAAGACGAATGCAGTGGTACGTCAAGATTCTAACATTTTGGCGTAAAAAATACGGATTGTCAAGGTAGAGTTAGCAAGTCAAACTCAAATCAACACAGCGGTAAAGAAAAACACATTTGCCTCAAAGTCACTATCTTTTGTCACTCTCAGTTGCTTATTTTTCGGCCATCCAAATACCAAGGAAAGTTTTGGAGAGTGAAGAATGCATGTTCTATGTTTTTGCAGTCAGTACGGGAAAATTTTCAATTCGTACCTTTTTGTTGCTCTCGAGTTATTTGGTCTTGATATCATATCTAGATCTCAAATTACCTGAAATTCTAGAATCCCCGCTTAAAAAAACCTTATCTTGACGAACAACCAGTATTTTGACTCTAGTTTTTTGCGGGCTATTTGAATATATGTATCGCAGACGGATATACTCTGCAGATTAAAGGTGAAAGTGGGCAGGCGGAGGAACAAGGCAGGCGGAGGATCACTTTCAAAGTGATTTTTCCGCTTCATATGTCAAATCATGAGATTGCTTCGGGTGATATCTTATGCTTAGTTGCTTAGCATACTACCGTACTACGTGAAAAGCTACTATCACCCCCCCCCCCCTCCCTCCCCCACTTTTGCCTGGACGCTGTCCTAAGAGGTATTCCCAGGTTCAACGTTCCCCGGCCAAGTCTCTATCGATGAACTAACCCCTGTGCCTCCATTCAGCTATTTCTCCTTGTCATGCGGTAAACAAGTAGGAAAGCAATTCTGCCACTTTGGGCCGCATGCATTGACATCTCCACCGGGGAGGGGATAGCCGCTTGGAAGAAAGCTTCAATAAAGCTCCAGATATCTGAATTTCACGCTGTCTACCTATCCGTAAGCATTCCCCTCATTTTCACTATGAACATATTGAATAAGAGCAAGAACCTGTACAAGTCGCAATTTCCAGCATTGTATGATCCTCTGATGATCCCGGCGGCCGACCGTTCCCTTAAAGTCGTTTTTCTTTCTTCGAATGCAATGAAAACGCCCAAAGTTGTTCTGATTACCTAACCAACAGTGCTAAGCTGTTGCTGTCAAGAACATGATGCATTGGAATTTGCGATGAACCACAGGACGAAAGTTAGGGTTTATAGAAAAATTGATGTGCTCAAAATTAATTTGTTCTCATTTTCTCACCAACATTATGTTTAGCACTGTTGGTAGATAATCAGTACAACTTTGAAAGGTTTTCGTTAACTTTGAAGAAAAAAGAATGGCTTGAAGAAAAGGTCGGCCGTCGGGGATGCCAGGGGATCACACAAAAAGCTGGAAAATGCTATGTACTACTTTTTGCTCTTGTTCAATATGCCCATGTAAAAGATGGTGGAGATATTTGCGCATAGGTAGGACGCTTAAAATCCAGATTGGAATTTCAAATATAAAGCTTTTTTTGAGCTGCAATCCCCTCCTCGGCAGGGATGTTAATGCAGCCTTTGTCACTGTTTTGTTCGGCGGGATTTTACTTTGCCCACAACGGTGCAAACTTTGGAGCACTTGTATCCGTTTTCGAAAAAGGGGCTACAAAACGGTGCTTTTCAATTTGATGTTTTCCGAACTCCATATCAGAGATCAGAACCATGCTCAACCATGAAAATGCTCGAGAAAGGCAAGAAATGATCACCAACTTGGACAGTGCCTTTGAGGCAACCAATAACAATTTTCGGTTGAATAAAAGACGAGAAAAAACTTGGAAATTGTGCAAACTTCTTTGCATCACTGTTATACAGGTTCCGTTGTCCTAAAAAGGTGTGAATGCTGTTTGATCGTTAATAATTCTCTTGCTTTCATGTCTTTCGCCAAGCTTAGAGTATCATTTTGTTTTAACTTATTGTTAGATTTAAGTATTAACCGGATCATCAATCACTCTTTATTACTGTAGGGTTACGGGACATTTGGTGCTACGTGAGCAGGGTTCAAAATGGCTGTTTAATGACGCAGAGAATGTGTTTTTTGTCGAAATGGTCTTTCCGGAAGAGCTGTGTACCGTTTTGGTGTGAATCAAACATACCGTTTTGGTGTGAATCAAACACTGACTCCGGAACTCTTTTTAGTATCTGCAGGGCACCTCTGGACGACGAGTTATAAGTGTTTTCTTGACGAGAAATGGTTGTACGATCTACATGAATTTAGTCTTTTCCCTCTCCCCCCCCCCTCCCCGCCCTCTAGCTCTAGAGTACATAGTAAGTGTGAGTATATAGAGAAAAAGTCTTAAAATACCTTGAAACTCGAACCATTTGCGCGGTTTCGAATAATTTTGGTTCACTTACGCCTTCCAAAAACACTTGTCGTCAAGAGGAGCACAGTAGATTGCAACTTCGTCTGAAAAGACCACTAGAACCATTCCGGCCAAAAATGCACTCCTTGTAAGATGCGCAATGCAGCTACTATAGCGAATGATTGAGGGAGCAAGAAGACCGTTGAATATTTTGGGCAAAAATATAGATTTCAATTTTCGGAATTCATAACTTGTGAGTTCTTTGCTGCAAAATTGAGGTGAATGGACGCTGGTGCGAACATTTACAACACCATCTTTTAGAGCTTATTTTGCTCTATCAAATGATGCCTGCAATCTGTTTAGAATTGGAAAAAAGTCAAACTTGAAAAAATTTTGGATACCTCGAGTGCAGTTTGAGAACTTAGATTCAAAGAGCGGGAAGCAACAGCTGCTGCCTGAAGTTCCTACACATGCATAATGCAGTTCGGCGCAAAGTCACGCTTGAAGGCGATGAAGAACTTTGAAAGATTTTATATTCAGCAACAAATTGTCTTTGTTGGTGAAATAAATTATACACAAAAATCCAATTTATTCTTTTCTAATTTATTTCTAAAGTGGCTTCAATTTCAGAAAAAGAATTTTGCGCCAAACAACCCGGAGAGTTTTCGGCAGGGACACAGTGAGTGTACATTAGTTTTGAATAAGTTCGGATGTCAATCACGAACTGCACATCATTAATCGATTCGCACCAAACATATGGATACTTCTGCATTGAATCCCAAACAATTTGCTTTAGAATCTTCACATGCAAGTACTACGGTTATAGAAATTCGGCAGGGGTTTCTTTTTTCACAAGCAAAAGCAAGTGTCGGGAGGAATGCCCAGGTATAGCTTATTTCTCCTCCAACAATACTATTGAAACTGACATATACAACGCTACAGGGATACAAATACGTGGTACAGTTCAAACCACGACTTCAACCACCACAACAACCACTACCACCGAAACTACGACTCCAACCACCACAACAACCACTACCACTGAAACTACGACTCCAACCACCACAACGACCACTACAACCGAAACTACGACTCCATCTACCACAACGACCACTCCCACCGCAACAACTACTACCACCACCACCACAACAAGAACCACTACCACCGAAACTACGACTCCAACTTCCACGACAACCACTGCAACTGAAACTACGACTCCAGCCATCACAACAACCACCACCACCGAAACTACGACTCCAACTCCTACAACAACCATCATCACCACTACAGAAACTGCTATTCTCAGCAGTAAAACTACGGCTAGCAGCGAAGTTAGTACGAGAAAACCAATGCCACCATCGCCATGTAAGTTAACCTATTCTTAGTTATTTGGTCAATCAATTATCTCACTTGAAGTGCTCTCACTACAAAACTCAAAGTTAAAGCAATAATATTAGTGAAAAAACAGTGAATCAAGGTAAAAGAATGATCTGAAGCAACACTAACTTATGAGCAATACCTAGGTTTTAAACTTACAATTAGACACGCCATACTTGATCGCTTGATCCACTTCATTTCTTCGCTGGTCAAATCAGTGAACTGGACAAAAGCAAAAAGAATGAAGTGAATCGAGTGGACATCTGCGTCGCTATTGGGCTATTTACCGTTTTGTTTGATAGCGAAGTGAACGAAATGGATCAAGCCGACCAAGTAGAGCAAGTATGGCGCAAGCAAGGCAGCGTCCAGGCAGATCTGGACCTTTGAGGACTTTACGTGGAAAGCAGTTTTGGGGTCCTAACTAAGGCACTGCATAAAACGGCAGCGCAGGTGACTCAAGAATGGCTGGTATATATGCCTCCAAACTGGACTTCAGTATTCGCATGGATTCATGGCAGTTTTGCGCGAACCCACGTGTTGGCCATGAATTCAAACGGAGTACAATCCTGGGATCCAGTTAAGGTAATATCTCAGCCGCTAGAGCACTACCTGAGCTGCCCGTTGAGCAGTGGCTTAGTTAGGGTCCCATAATTACTATCCACGTGAGATCCTTATGTGTCCAGACTTTCTGGACGCTGCCTTTAAGGCAGTACTCAGGCAAATCGGCCTATGAATTTTTCACCTGGAAAATGAAGAGGGGGTCCTGAATTAGTGATTCACTCACGGTTGAGAAATCCGTCCCCTCTTCCACGTGGGACTTACAAGAAAACGATACTTGGTGTCCGTGGCCTTTTGAGATGAAACGTATACCCTCACATTCGTCTTGAAACGCTGATTCCAAATCTGATTCCCTTTTTTGCTAATCATTTCTCTAAAAGAAGTTATAAAGGATTTTTGCTTCAATGGTTGCCTAAGAGAAATACGTCGAGGATGCATAACTTTCAAAAAAAATTGATTGAGGCAATTCAAAACTGAAAAACACAAAAAGACTAAAACCTAAACCTGCATTTAATTTGCGATGCTATCGCATTAGCCACTACACCACATCTTAGCGGCGGTTTAGGCATTCTGACCACATCTTCTTTGGCGCGAAAATCTTCATAACTTTTTTCCGAGAAACGATTAGCAAAAACGGAAGTCAGATTCGGAATTAGCGCTCTAAGACGAGTGCTTTGATATACCTCGTCTCAAAAGGCCACGGACACCAAGTATCGTTTCCTTGTTAGAATGGTCCCAGCGCAGTTAATGTGAGCGAAACCATTTTTGTTTTACGGTCACGGCGCAGACACGAAGAGTTCGGGGACGGATTTCTCAGCCGTGTGTAAATCATCTGTGTAGTTGCTCAGGCAATTTCTCAGTTAGGCCCCCGCCATCGGTTTCCGCGCGGGAAACCGATGTGCCCAGATTTGCTTGAGCACTGCTTCTAAGGGCCGGGGATACATCACGCAATTTCATCGCCTCGCTATTCTCCCGCGTACAAATGTTACGAGTCCATCGCATCATTAGTTCGAATGGTTTTCAATCTGATTCAAAAAACATTTTCTAACTTTAAAGCTACTTAAAAAAGCCGAAATCACACCAATTTTTGGTATGCTGCCTCTCAACCATGTCTTTGAAAAATCAAAAATCCTTTTTGAACCAGTTTTCAAACTTCCGCACTCAGGTGTTAAAGGGAAAGCCTTTGCTCTACTTTCGTGCGCAATCACAGAGCAAAAGAAAAGGTTATCAAACGGGGCGGGGCGGGGCTGGTGTCGTACGCTACTTTTCTCTATCAATTGATATCGATTTTATGGTTGTTTTTTTTGCAAAATTTGAGCAAGGGGGCTGGGATCTGGCCCCGTTACTGCGAGTACTCATAATCACCCTGCCCACTTACCACCTGTACACGGGGGGGGGGGGAGGAGGTGGGGAAATAAATGGGCTCGCTGAGTTGAAAATAAAACGGGATAGGGAAATGGCGTGTGAAAAAGGCACAGAAAAGGTTGTACTGTTCAGGGATAGGGGACGGGCCTTTGTCATAGTGTTGTGACAGGGGCGGGCAGAGCCGGGTATGCTAGCTATCTTATATATAAAGCTTAATGTCTGTTTATTTGTGTGTATGTATGTGCATGTTGCGTCTGTCTTTTTTATATACTTCAAAGGTCTTGATGATGCTGTGAGAAGGTTATATTAGCAAGCATACATTCAACGAAAACCCTATTTCCTTTGGTAGCAGGGATATACACTTGAAACAACTGCTTCATCTTATACGTTGCTACACCTCCAAGGGTTAAGGCATAGCTCACGCAATTCCGGTCGCTGCGGGTTATTATTCTGGGACATCCTTGGAGTCGATGCGCTACACTGTGCGATTGCGCCTTGTTTGTGTTAGATGCCCATGGGACAGATCGCAGGCCAATCATGGACGGGCATACCTCCATTACGGACAAATTGGTATGATGTCGTGACATCGCTGTAATTCAGCGACGTCGCTCAGCACCACCAATTTTCAAACCTTTGCTAATTTGTATACATGTGCATCCCGCAAACGTAAAATTCCGAGCATTCTTATAAATCATAACAACCCATAAAATCTTATAAATAGCTGAAAGTCTGATTGTTTGTGTGTGTCTGTACGTATGTTCCGAATAGTAATTTTTTGTCTGTACGTATGTTCCGAATAGTAGTTTTTATTTCCGAACCAATCCGGACTAAACTTGGCACACATACACTTCGGAGCGGGGCGGGTGTCATAGGCTACTTTTCGTTATCGATCGATTTCGATTTTATCGATTTTAATCGATTTTTTGCAACGCTTGAGATACGAGGCTGGTAGTTGGCACAGGGGGTAATCGAGCACTGATTACGAATACATTATTAGTTTTTGAAATTAAAAAATTTTGAAACTACTTTTACCGACTTCATCAAATTGTTGCGAAGTTAGACCTACGGGGCTGGTATCTGGCACTGTGAAGTGATGGGGCATGCTGATTACTAAATCAGCGGGAATATGGCTTGTAGACGTGGGCACAGGGAATGGTTGTACAGGAATATTGATGAGACGGTTTTGAAAGGGGCGGGCGGAGCCGGGTAAACCAGCTAGTTATTCTATAAATCTTCGAATTCATGCTTGCGTACAAAGCGCATTTTCGAAACAGTAGAGATTTTTTCCAAAGAACAAGCAGCCAAATTCTGGTTTGACTATGGCATTACGATAATGATGGTTGATGAAAACAAGTGCATACTTAATCTGTCCTCGAACCTGTCTACTATCCTTGTGCCAACCAGGAAATACGCGCTGGTAATTTTGGCGCACCCTGTATAGCCGGAAATTTCTATTCATACGCAATAGATGATCGGAACTTCATGATAAGCCGTTACTGAAGCGAAGAAGCACGATATTTCAGCATAAATCCTTTTAAGAATGATTTTAAGCGAGTTAGAAATCTCGACTAACTCTTACAGCCGCCGTAGCCTAAGAAAATGGCACTAATCTGAGAAACTAATATTATATTGGGTCGTTCCAAAACTAGTGTCGCATTTTTCAGTTACGTCACATTTCGTGGAACCAAAGTTTCTAAGAGATCTTGAAAGCATTCGATGCAGCATTTCTCCTCTTTCTGATGGTCCTGACTTCATTGCATAATATTCAAGGAGCTCTTGAAAAAGTTATATATCCTTACGCAATCTAACTACCCGCTGGTATTGCTTATGGAAACCGCAAATTCTGGCACTTGTGTGACGTTATGATACCCGGCAGCCGACCGTCTTTTTGAAGTCATTTTCTTTCGAAGTTAACAGAAATATTCCAAAGTTGTACTTGTTGATTACCCAGCCCAATAGTGCTAAGCAAGCCTAAGACAAGAACAGATGAGTTATTAGAATAACGAAATTTTCAGCAAACACATTATAATATAATTGGATTAGTATGATAGGATCCAAAACATATTTTTGATCCTATCATACTGGTTTGAAAAATTCTAGTGTTTTGATGACCGTGGATGTAAACAATATGTAAATTAGAGTCTATTTAGGGATACCGAAGGAGAAAGAAATTAAATGCCAGATGAGGAGGGTGAAAGTGGGCAGAAGTAGGAGATCGAGAAACAGGTAGGTTCATAATTTTGCAAGAATATTGCCTAAGCTGCGAAAAACTTTTCAAAATAATATATTCAAGCTTGTGCAAGAAAGAGAACTTAAAAAAACGATAATCGACGATTCGTATAAAGATCTAGTAACAACATTTACTGGAGCTTTTTTTTGTACTGACAAAAAGTAACGCCTTTATTCTCGTGCACAAGGAAAATTAGCGAAGTTTGTTGGCGGAACAAAATTTGTGAAGCAACCTGATACTTGCTGATTATTTCCAAACATCATTTGTCGTACTCTTGTGTGCTGATCTCGATCTTGTCAGGCAAAGTAGTTGATTTCAGCATACTGCAGCCTAATGCATCTGCTCCCACTGACCTGACAAGTTCACATTTAGAGTTGCACACACATACTACTCTTTTACAAAGCACGATGATTGATGCGTCTAAATACTCAAATCCTTGAAGATTGCGACTTATGTTTAGAATTTATTGTAACAGTTCTCACACGAAATAGATAGCCCGCAACTAAAATATGTGTACTGTTAGTGAGCCTTGATGGTAGCAGTACCTACTTTCTTTCACATGACCTGCTGCCCACAGAAGCCCTAAATCAGTAGCTTGTTCGCTTGCGCATTTGCTCCTAAAGCTGCAACAGGAAAATAGCTGTAAAGAATTTGGGCTGCCGGAATTTGGCATGCGAGATACCCTTATTTTGATGTATCTGTTAGCGCACAAAAACATCCACTCCTTTTCAAGCCAACTGTACTCCGTTTCAATCTAGGTGTGTCGATTTTTGACATTGCGTTCCCAAAAAAATTCTAAATTGCCATTTGTCTAAATTCAAAAAATTTACTCATTGAAGGCAATCTGACCGATGA